AATTTAATGCTATTTTAATGCTATTTGAAATGATTTTAATGCCATCAACAAGAACCATGTACACAAGTTATAAGTGTACATGAACTATGAAGGAGCTGTAAGCACAGTTCCATGACTCTTGTATGTATGTAAACACACACACACACACACACATATATACGTATATATATATTCTCTAGCTTTTTCTCCGTCTCGAGCTTCCTTTCCGAACATACGTGAAGGGCATTATTCAGGAAACAAAGGGCTGGGTTCTGACCTGAGTGGAGGATTATTATCTTGTACCGGAAGTTGAACGGGCTCTGTCTCAGATGTGGCGCACTGGGTATTTTCCTGCGGGGTGCGGTTGATTTTAGCTTGACGGATGTCTAATTCACGGGGGGTGGAGTCATGGCTCTTAATGTGGGCTGGGTGTTGATCCAACATCTTCCAGAGCGATTCTGCGGGGCTAGTTTGTTGGCCAGAGTGTTCTGTCATGATGGGTTATGGAATCTAGCCCATATGCAGAACAACTCAGAGGCAGGGAAAAAGTTCAAAGGTTTATTTACAAAGATGTATATTAATGTGGACAGGTCCAAGGTTAGGGAGACTGGTCAGGAATTGGTTCACCGCTGATCGGGAGAGGAGCAGAGCTGCAGAGAGGGGGGAACCTTGTGGGTCCAGAGGCAGTTGACAGGCCGAGGGCTGAGGGCTAGCAGAGCTGAGTGCAGGCAGGAGGAGAACTGAGAACTTGGCAGAGGCGGTCTGAGTGCCGGCAGGCAGGTTCCAGGTTGGGAACACAGTGCAGGCAGGAGGAGAGCTGAGAGCTAGGCAGAGGCAGTCTGAGTGCAGGTGGGCTGATTCCTGATGAGCTCTCTCTCTCTCTATAGAGAGCTGGGCTGAGACGGTCAGAGTGCAGGCTGGCAGACTCCAGGTTTGGTTCTCTCTCTTGAGAGCTGGGTTGAGACGGTCAGAGTGCAGGGCTTACTGTGTGCTTGCAGGCAGATCACAGACAAAGTCTCTCTCCTAATTTTCCTCTGAGGGTAGGCAGGCAGATGCTGACAGAGGAAGCCCTCCAGAGTTCAACAGAGAGCAGGCAGACATATCACCGGCAGAGAAACTCTCCAGAGTTTCGGGTGAACAGGCTGGTTCAACCGTTACTGGCAAACACTCTGGCGTTGGAGTGTTAGTCTCCTCCTCCTTAAGTAGGCCCAAGGCTAATGAGGAGATGAAAGACAGGTGTTGCAGGTGAGCACAAGCCCTCAGGAAGGGATCCTTGGTGCCCTCTGGTGGGCAGGCCTCTGGATCCCAACAGACAGCAGAAGCCCCAGCAGAAGTCACAGGCTCCAAGTGACCCTGCAAGGATATGATTATGACCTGGGCTAGCTGCTGTGCTGAAGAAATTTGTTCCTAATGTTATCACTGGATGGCTGTTTTGTGAAATAAAGGAATATGCATCTACAGCAGACTAAGTCAATTTTTTTTCTTGTCTATTCTTAAAAGACAAAATAATAACAAACATTTCCTAGTGTTTCAACTTTCGTGAAGTGCCATTTTTATACATATTTAAAGAGGAGTGAGTCTGCGGTGAGGGTGGTGAATTTACATAGTATCCTTATGCAAACTGCATGGGGAAGGACAGGGAATTGGCCAGCAGTGAATCCAATGCTCTGAGGGCGTTCGTTGCCCTCACCTAG